GTAATGAGGAAAAATTATTGTAATTTTATGGTTTGCATGATTGATATAGCATAATACTATCTTGCAATCTATGTAGTTGATCCTATTTGGTGAAATAAAATTTGTTATTATTGTTGTCGATGATGATGTGGTTGTCAAAGGTTTACACGCAACGTTGATACGTCTGAACATGATCTTATGAATGCTTTGAAACTGCAGATTCTGCAGAGACTATCTCAGGAGCAGATTTTTCTGAGAGCTAATTATACTTACTGATAACATTATTTTGCTTTCACTAAAAACGATTTTGGTGATTTTTAACATGAAATCAAACAGATCCTAACTTTAAAGGAACCTCCAAGAAAAGAAGCTGCCAATACGAGAGTGGAAGCTATGGAATCAATAGCAAGATTTTCTTCATGATCAAATCATTTGTTTACAGCTCAATATTTGTGAACCGACAATATATGATTCATTGTTGAAATGTGATGAAGATAAAAACTATCAACCACATTGTCACATCCGGTTCTCCATTTGAATTCTAATATTTAGAGATACTACCGTCAAACATGAAAGAAAGTGGAATGTAAGTACTGTTGTGTTTATGAGCCAAGGTTTTGATATAAGAAAGTCAATATATATCCGATCGACGCAACTTTTTTGCTTTGTTTTTGTTTTCAAGGATTTTGTAATAATGAGATATGTGTGCATATCTGCTAAAATTGGTCAATAATGTCAAAAAGGGATTAGTTGGACCATGTGATGGCTGCATATTTACGGTCTGCTTTTTGTTTTCTGTGTGTGATAGAGACTGACAGACAGGGAGACAGACCACTTTAATCTTTTTTCATTCCCCAAATCATGTTAAGTTCCATTTAGTCTTAATGAAAGGAGCAGCAGTTCGGCAACCACAATGTTTGTGGATCCCACCAAATCATTAAACCTGGTATTTGGCCCCTCTTTGATAATTAATTAATTCCTGAAGGGGAGGGACCCCCTTTTTTTCCTCCGGATCAGAAAAGTGGATCCGAATCTATGGAACTTGAAACCGAATCTTTTACACTTGATTATTAGGGTAAACTGTACGCATAGACCGGTTTTGGTTGGGCCGATTAACTAAAGACCCGAACCGGTCCTCATAAAACATCAAAGGTTCAAACTCTACAGCCCAATTGAACCTAGTACAATATTGGGCTGGGCTAGCCAGTTTGATCTGTAGCGGGTTCAAACACATACTCTATTTATATTATATATATATATATATATATAAATAAAAAAATAACAAACACGTCTTTATCAAATATGGATGATAATTTTTATTTTCTTCAAATGCTTCAATTCTATAAAGCCACTGGGATTCTTTTTACAAAATTATTTTTTATTTGTGAATATAATTTATTTCTTTTCTTTCATTCTAACAACTTCCTCATCCTATGGTTTAATGACTTCCTAATCCCATAAAGGTAATTGCGGTTAGTTACTCGGAGTATTCCATCATTCTAGCAACTTCCTAACTTCATGATCTGTGTAGGATTTGATTTGCCATTTTTTTAATTCATACATATAATTGAATTTTATAATCTAATACAATTATCCCTATTTTTATAATTAATTCAAATCAATTTGAATTGATTATAAAGTTGAGATTTGGATTTAATTACAGATAATTATTTACATTAGTCTCTTACTCTAATAACCGCCTAACTTCATGATTCATGCGGAATTCAGGTTGGGAATTAATTTTTAATTCATACATATAATCAAATTTTATAATTTAATACAATCATCTCTCTTTTAATTAATTAGAATCAATTTGAATTGATTATAAAATTTAGATTTAAATACAGTTAGTTATTTAAATCAGAATAAAATATATTGACATCTCCTTTGTTTTACCTTAATTACAAATACATTCGCTTTTACAAAAAATGACTAGAGCATAATTTAGATCTTTAACTTTATACAACGTTTCATTTTAATTTTTTAATTTTATAAAGTGTCTTTTTAATTTTTTAATCCTAACACTGTTAGTTTTATTCTAATAAATTTTTATATTAAACTTTTCAATATTGACAAAGCATTCTTAAATATTGATATATCAAGTTTAATTTTTGTTAAATAACAATGATTGGCACAAAAAAATCATTTGAAATTAGTGATGTTAGGGTTAAAGGATTAGAAAGATATTTTTTAAAATTAAAAAATTAAATTAAAATTTTATATAAAGTTAGAGGATTAAAAATATACTTTAACAAAAAAAATTATATGAATATTCTCTAAAATCAATAGTTACGAAATACACACGCGTGTCTCTTTTTTTTTTTTGTAAGATTTTATTTTCATTCACCCAACTATTAATTACTCATCTATTAATTACTCATTAAGTCACATATTCTAAACCAAAATACCCCTTTTAAACATAGAAGTTATATAAAAATCATGCTCAAGCTACCATTTTTTACCCTTTTAATTATATTTTAAATTTTTTAGTTATGCAAAATTATTTATTTAATATTTTTTTTAATTTAAATATATAAGTTGGTTAAAATAATATTTCAAGCACGTATATGAAAAGACTAAATAAAATAAGAATTAAATATAATAAGAAATAAATTAATCAACATAATTTACGTTTCTTTATAATTTTAATATAATATTTTAAAATTATTTATTTAAATATTTTTTACTTAATTATTTGTGAGAGAAGAAAGACAATTAGATTGTAGGGTAAGTTAATGATTTTAATTCTTTAACACAATTACAAATAAAAATTTAATTATTTTTTATAATTTTTAACAAAATTCTTTTAACAATGTTAAGAATTGAACTAAAGCATATGTTTTAAAAATAAAAAGGAGGTCGCCGTAATAAAAGAGAGGTCAACGTGGTTTATTTTTTAATTATTCTTTCATTCTAATAACCTTTTGCCTTCATAATTCACTCAAAATTCAGTGATAATTTAGATTTTAAATTTCATATTTTACATTTTAGATTTTATATAATTTATATAAATATATATTTAAATTATGCAATTTTATGGAACTTAGATTGATATAATTTAGATTTTAAAAAACTAATTTATATTTTATAAGTTTAGTGTTTAGACAATTATAACTTCCTAAACCCGCGAATCCTCCCTTTATTTACGGATTATCTGGGAAATCCATTTCAGAGATACTATTACAATTTTTTAAACTTCCTAACCACAAAACCCATGATCTTTATTTAAATTTATTTTAAATTTTTAACTGATTTGAATTTATATTAAAGGGAAAATTATAACAAAGAACTTGGAGAAAATAATACTTATTAGAGAGGATCCTAAAAATAGTAATTATTTAGAAGGATCAAATTAATACCAAAATATAAAATTAAAATACTAAATTGCTCCTGCTTCCTAATCAAATCTCCCACATTCCCTCTAACCACATCTCACGTATTTGACAGTTACTAGAAGTAGTGAATAACATAAATAAAAATACATTTGTTTGAGACTTGAGTGACACCTATTTCTATGAGAAAGTAAAACAAATGGTTGATAATTTTGCTAAAAAAAATAATGCTAGTAATTCAAGTTCAGGTTCACATATATAATAAAACAAAGAGGGGGAGCCAGTAAGGGATGAAAATCACAACAGATAAATAGCAATATTATTTTATCAAGGATTTGCATCTTTTTTTTTTTTCATTTGCTTTCATCGAAGTCTTGAGATGATTGAATTGGGTAGAATGCCATGAACTTCAATTGTCAACTATAAAATTTTCAAGGCAATATTAACAGACTTAATATTAACGGTTATAATAATCATTATTTACAATAACATTGTTGTTTATCCTAATTTTAATTTTATGATCCTTTAATAATAAATTTTAGTGGTTTTAGAGATGTGGTTAGAAGAAATGTAGGAAATTTGATTGGGAAGTAGGAACAATTTAGTATTTTTCATTTTATATTTTGGCATTTGGTCCTTCTAGATGATTGATATTTTTAAGATCTTCAACAATAAATATTATTTTCTCTAGGTCTTTTCCCATAATTTCCCCTATATTAAAAAAAAATCGTAAATCCTTGAACCCACATTCCATGATTTTTGGTTGAGTTTATTTGAATTGATTTGAATTTACTATGTATATTTGTCAAAGAAAAGTTACATAGATCAAGACATCAAGCCACGTTCCACTATAAAATTTGACATTAATTTTTTTTTTTAACACCTTCACCCTCAATTTCCGTCGTGTTTAACTTCTTTTCTTCTCTAGAGAATAAGAACTGAACTTCATTTAATTCAGAAAAGAATCATACAATAAAGAAAACTACTAGGACAGAGCAAACACAAAGACAACTAAAAACAAAACTCTTTCATCATATTCCATCTCCAATGAAAGATGGCTTATGATTATAAAGATACAAAAATTATCTATTAAAGCATGACCAAAACTAATTAAAGGGTCGGTGATGTTATTCGCCTTTCTATGCGTAAAGGTGTTCAACTTCTTTTACAGCATGAAATCAATTCTCACTATCGTGTTCAACTCCTTGATTAATTCTTGACAGAGTCCCACACTACCTCAAGAAGTAATGGAAAGTAATGGAATCTCAATGCTTATAGTCTTCGTCTTGAGTTCTAGGTATATATTCCTTCCAATTGATTGAAGATGAGCCAATATCAATCTTTTTAGAATGATATAACTCTTATCAGATTTCTCACAAAATTTATTCACTTCTTCAACATGTGTAACTTGAAGTCAAGGGATGCAACATAATTTAATTTAAAAATTAATAATTTTATTTAAAATAATATAATTACATTAGGACTAAAATTGTAATAATATAAGTAGATTACTTGTCATTTAAAAAAATATATTAAATAGGTTGATATGATCTTTTATATAAAATATATTCTTTATATTTTATATTTATTATTAAAATATTACATATCTAATAAATTTTTAAGACCAAATATTTTTATTTAATCTAGAGGGTGAAAAACCTCAAGTATAGATGGTGCAAAGTTGCAAAATTTACATATAAAACTTATAATTTTTTTCAAAGTGAAGGGGTGCATTCACCCACCCTCACTAGTGAATAACTTCCCCAATGTGCAACTTGCTATTCAACATGTGTAACTAGCTATGTATCAATCCTTTTATACACAGTATTTATCTTAAAAGAAATATACACTTAAGTAAATGCACTCTTCAAATACTTTCAGATAGAAATGAATTAAGAATTAAATTGTAGGGGATTATAATTTTCAAAAGTTAAATGACATATCTTCTCTTTTGTTTGGCAAAAATGATCATGGAAATCAGTCAAATTACTGATTTTATGATAACAAATGTTTCAAGGTTGCATGAATTGTGTCTGAATATTAGGCCCTGTTTGGAGGGTTAGATCTGGGATTGGGTGGTATCACATTTTGATGCTTGGTACATGATATTGAGCATTTCAATCCTAATACCAATCCCAACTTACATGAGATACCCAATATACCACTCTTAGTATTGGAAAATCAGTTGTGTGATTGGAAATTTCATACCAAGCTGCCCTTACCTCATTCCCTTTGTCACCCCCCCTACCCTCACTTGTCCTTCCTCCTCCATGCCCAATGATAGAGGTGGCCAGGATATCCCATGCCCCCAAGCCCCCAGTCATATTGATAATTGATAACACGACATATCAAATATTATTTTAAAACTTATTCCCACTCCCAATCTTATGCCCATTCCCATTCCCATTCCCATTTCCATTCTCAATCCCTTCAAATTCAATGCCTTGTACTAAACAAGGCCTAAGTGTCACTCTTCTGTTTCCCTCTCACCAATAATCCTTACAAGAACAAACCCCATTTTCAAAATGGTGGAATCTATTGCGATCCCTCACCACAATTTTCCTGCCAGTAATTTTCGCTATGAGCTTGATCATTGAATGGCAGTCATTGCAAATCCTTATATTTTTCATGATTCTTAATGTCGTGCATGGCTCAGTTGAGATTAGTCCATAGCATATTGCAAGCTTCTCACTATGCACAGCCAAAGCCCACTCTTTCTGCTTATCATCAACATCATGTAAAGCCAATTTTGTTGCAGGTATATATCCTTCCAACCTTGTCAAATAGTTCAACTCCTCTAGCTTTTCATAGATTCTTTTCCTTTGAGGGTGTCTTAGGTCTCCTGAAAAGAATTCATAAATGACACTATTGACTTCAATGGAACTACAACCTGGTTCCTTCAAGATTCCTCCCTTCTCCATCTTCTTTCTCAGTTTTGCAGCATAATTCCATCTTCCTGATGAAGCATAAAAGTTTGATAACATTATGTAGGATCCAGACTCTATAGAATTACACTCACTCAACAATTTCGCAACATGATCTCCAATCTTGGCATTTCTATGAATTTTACAAGCACTTAACAAAGCACAGAGCATTCTGTCATCAGGATGCACTCCCATTTTGCCAATGAAATCATAAGCTTCTTCAAGCCTACCTACCCTAGCAAGTAAGTCAACCATGCAGCCATAGTGTTGTACTTGTGGTTCAATCCGATATTCTGTTTCCATTGATTGAAATATCTCATAACCCAACTCCACCAAACCTCCATGGCTGCAAGCATTCAAGACGCCAACAAAGGTGATGCTATTCGGTACAAGTCGTCGCTTTATCATTTCTCTAAACAATCCAATTGCCTCAATGCTCTTTCCATGCATAGCTAACCCTACAATCATGGAATTGTAAGTGGTCAGGTCTCTCACCTTCAGCATTTTGAACAATGACTGTGCTGCATCAATATCACCACACCTTGAATACATATTGATTAGAGCACCACCAATGAATTGATTTAGCTTGATATTGCATTTGCTCATGTACATGTGTACCCATCGACCCAACTCTAAAGCACCCAGCTGCATACAAGCAGATAAAACACAAACAATGGTGACTTCATTAGGCTTCACATTATTTTCTTGCATTTCTCTGAATATCTCCAAAGCCCTAGTTAACTCCCCATTCTTCACCAACCCATCTATCATTGCTGTCCAATAGACCGTGTCACTCGATTGCAGTTTACTAAATAAAGCCATTGCCTCTTGAGTTAGCCCGTGATCGAAATAGCAAGTTATCATAAGTGTGCATGCAACAACATCACGCTCAGACATTTTATCAAACAAGTTCCGAGCATCTTCCAATCTACCACATTTCCCATATAGTCCCATAAGCTTTAATGCTATTGATCGGTTTAAACTCAGCCCAAATTTCAAAACCTGACAATGAACTCCTTTTCCATAGCCTAGAGCAAGCAGAAGAGCACAAGCTTTCAAGACTGAAGTGATCACATACTCATCAGGAAAAATCAACTGGTTGATCATTTGAGCATACAAGTTAAGAGCATCTGTGAAGAAACCGAGGGAAACCAAACCATCAATAAGAGCAGTGTAGAGGTACACATTAGGGTTTTCACTGTGGTGAAAGACCTTTGTGGCATAATCAATGGAATTGATTTTACAGTAAAGTCGGACAAGTTCAAAGACAAGGAAAGGATCTTGAAAGATTCCTTTCCTTATGATTTTGGCATGAATTGATCGGGCATGATTCATGTCTTTGCTATTCTGAAGCATTGAGATGAGGTTCCTGCGAAGGATGTGATCACTGTCATTGGAAATTGAATTCCAACAAAATTTTGGGTTTCCCATTGCAGGGGCCAGGTTTAAAAAGCTCATGTTGGTCTTCAAATGCCTATTTGTGTTGGCCTCCCATATTTTGCTTTTAATTTGGAATCTTAAGTCGTAGATCCACTATTGACGCACCTAACATTTTGTGTTGTTATTTCCAAATAGCATTGTACAATGCAGATGAAGGGGTAAGTTCATTTCCACTATCTGAAATACAAATAATTAGTGAGGATATAAAGTCATATAACATGATTCATTACTAAAATAACTAAAGAGCAGATAAATAAATATTGAATCATAATCAGTTTTCTCAAGCTAAGAAAGTCATACCTCAATAATTCAAATCTATAAAACATTGAAACTAAGGATGGATGCAAGTTTACTGACACAATACTAACAAAACAACAGGGATAAATATCATCCTTAACAAATGTGCAAAACATATATTTCCAAACTTATTATACCCTTGCTTGTATTTAACAAAAGTAGAAACTGAAACAGTAATTGTAAGTTGAACTCAAAAGAATTAACATCAGACTTTCTTTTCAATAATAAGAAATAATGATAAAACATTTTCTTGAATTGAAAGGTCATTTCCTTAGAGGGACCAACATAGAACGAGATATCCATTATGGGCACACTACCCATATGGGTAAGTCACCAATCATCCATGGTTTATAGAATACAGACCACAAATAATAAGAGTAGCTCACACATGATGAAAAACAAGTGTGGCTCACACACAAGTAACAAGCATAGCTTGCACACCATGAAATAACAAGCATGTCTAGCAAACCTAACAACAAGCACAGCATGCGGGCCACAAATAACAAGTATTTTGTGTTAAGTCCCTCCATCAGTGTTCAAAATCAAAGAAACTGACTCTCTTATATTATAAATTTGATCTTGTAAAAGATTCTACAACATATTCATAATCCATATTTCAAGCTTCCTCCCACAGACTTCATGCACGCAAAAAAAAAAAAAAACACACACGCACACACGCACACACAAACAAGATTTTTTAACAAACAAAGGTGGAAAAATCAAAACAGAATTTCCATTACAACTGTTTGTTATCAACTTCTCTTGTAGCTTTTTGTGTATTTCAAGAATTTTAATCCACAAAATAGACTCATATTCATAGCTTGTATGGACATGAACATTGTACATCAATTATTCAAATACTTATGAAAATCAAGGCAAGGTAGTCATGCATGTAAGCCTAAAGGGTTACTTAATTCAACAGTTTAAACCAATTCTCCTTTTCATTCATAAAGAGCTTCCAAAAATCATCTTTGCAATACAATACAATACTAAGCATAATAATTGGGCATCACACTCAAAGAATAATTTAAATCAATTCCAAATGAAGAGACAGACCAAATTCATGCTAAATCCCTTTATGATGACATGCTACTAACATTTGTAAACAGCTATAGCATTCTTCAAGGAAAAAAAATAAAAGTCTAGGTATGTATCATGGTCACTTGGCATGTGTTCTTTAATGATCCTCTTTGGAAACTCTCCCTATCAATGCCTTCATGTCAAAAGAAAGAACTATGATTAACCCCTTTCCAAGACAGAGAAAGTTATAATAGTCAAAATTATGAATTATCTACTCAACTGTGCTATATCTTTTCTCAAATTTACACTCAAAGAAGAGATCAAATTCCTTTTCTTGTCCAACAAGGCCTTTTCATAATAGCCAGACTTCACTCCAATTTTCTTCTCATTTAACTTCTTTCCAATACCATTGATTCAATTCAAGATCGAAATTAGTCAACAGAGAAAGTACACCCAACCTTTGCATGCTACTATAAGACAGCTGATGCAATATAACCATCCAAATCCTTCCATTTAAACAAACAAGCTTCCCTTTTCATATTCTCAACCCTTAACTAATCACTCTAACAAGTTTAAATACCATATTTTGAAATCTTTATGTATTAACATAGAATTTAAGTGTTGCGAAAATAGTTTAAACCAAATTGAGACTACTATCAATGACTACCAAATATACATAAATTTTCTTCTAGAGCCCTTTTAACAAACAGTTAATCTGCACTAGCCAACCCAAACATAAGGGTAAGCTTAATAAGACATAAGTCCCTATTTTATTAAAAAAAAAAAATCCAAACACCCATCAAACACTTTTAAATCATCATATTCAATAACCAGATTAATTTCCACTTTCAAGTTGACTAAAAGCTAACAAAGAAGGGAGGGTCCTAATTCCTTGAGTTTCGACCAACACCAAATCCCTATTCTCCCCTGTTTTGGGTTTATAATTGGCACATAAAGATTTTGAAATAGGTCTAAATAGTTACAGAAAATAGACTCAATGGTTGCAGAAAAGGAAGGTAAAGGGAATTAGAAAAACAAATTTCACAAAGAAAGAAGAAGAGAAAGAGCTGTAATTTGCATGAATGACAAGCCCCTTATCTAATGCTGAAACAAAAGAAGATTAGGAGAGGAGAGGGTGGAGCTCGATCAGCGGCATAACCCACCGACTGGAAGAAAGCGACGGCAAGCGTAGAACGACACTGAGCAACTCCGGCAGCCACACTTGAACACGAGCTCTATCGCGCCAATGCTTTGGCCTGCAAGAAATTAATAAAAAGCAAGTTTGTAATAGTGACAAACAGATGAGGCTATCAATCTAGACCATTGTAGCGTATTTATATCAGCACGATTATGTCATTATGATGTTTCACGGACCTCCCAGGCTTTTAGCTGATATTGATTTTTTTATGTATAATGATTAAATTATTTTTAACATTTAAAATAATAAAAAAAATTAGTCACCTCCATTATTTTGCCACCGACGAGGTTACTGATAGCAGGTTACCAAAGCGCTGACAATGGTGATATCATTTTTTTAAATTGATAAATGTGGTTAGGGGGTTTGATTCTACAATCCATTAATCACTGAGGTCATTTAATTATATATATAAAAATAAATAAATATATGTAGCCATCAAAGCTTCTAAATAACTTTTATATTATAACATAAAGTTATATTATTAATTCACAAATGATACTTATTATTTTATTAATATAAATTATTAATTTAATATGATCAATTATAAATTGAGAGTTTTAAAATTTTATATATTTTACTTATTAAAATCTAAATGTATTATTGTTAATTATGAAAAAATATTATTATCAAAATGTGAATGGATACTTGTTGATGAATAATTAATACTTATATAATTAAGCCTATCCTATTACCTTTTTGTTATAGTACAAATAAATTGTTATTAATTTTAAAAGAGTTGTTATTAAAATTTGAATAGATACTTTTTGATAAAGGAATAACACTTATACAATTAAGCATATCTTATCTGTTTTTTTAACTTGTTAAAATTCAAATGCATTGTTGTAAAAAATTTGAATGGATACTTGTTGATGAAGAATTAACACTTATACCATTAAACCATCTTCATTAACACTTATACCATTAAACTATTTTCAATTTTTTTAACTTGTTAAAGACTGAATGGATTTTTGTTTATTTTGAATAAGTTGTTGTTAAAATTTAATTGGATATTTGTTGACGAAAGACTTATATTTATATAATTAACCTCATCTTATTAATTTTTCTAACTTAGTAAAACTCGAATAGATTATTGTTAATTTTGAATGAGTTGTTATCAAAATATGAATGGCTACTTGTCAATGAAAAATTAACACTTGTATAATTAAGTCCATCACATCTCTTATTTCTAATATATTAAATCTCAAATAAATTGTTGTTAATTTTAAATGTGTTGTTGTTAAAATTGAAATAGCTTGTTGTTCATACACTTATTCTATTAGATCTATGCTTTTAGTCATTAACAGTAAGTATTCATTCTGATTTCCATGACAATGCATTCATAATTAATAACAATTTATTTAGGCTTTAAGAAATTAAAAAAAGTAGATAAGATAGGTTTAATTATACCAATATTAGCCCTTTATCAATAAACATCTATTTGGGTTTTAACAATAAATTTTTCAAAACTAACAACAAATCATTTGTGTTTTAACAAAAAGCTGATAGAATAGACTTAATTATACAAGTATTGGTCATTCATAAGAAGTACCCATTCACGTTTTAACAATAAATATTTCATAATTAATAATAATATTTTCAGACTTTAATAAATAAAATGCATGAAATTTTAAAGTTCTTAATTTACAATTGACCATATCAGATTAACAAGTAATATTAATAAAATAATAAGTCTCATTTTAAAATTAATAACACACCATTGTGTTATAACTAGCGCGCGCGCGCTCTTGTCTTATATAATTAAATGGATTTAGTGACTTAATAACTAATTAGAGTTAGGAAATGGGAGGGCTCGGCCAATAAGGGCTTAAGCCTTTAAGTTCAATTTTTCATTTTTTACTCATTTTTTGAGGCCCGACTTTTATTTGAAGGGCTCAAGGCTGAGCCCCCAGCCATGGTCTGAAAAAATTTAAAAAAATAAAAATAAAATTAAGCACTACAAATTAATTAAAATATTTTAAAATTAAAAAAATAAAAATCCTCATGATCTTTTAGAAATTAAACAACATAGAAACCTAGTAATAAAATTTAAATTTTGGTTAAAAAATAGTTTTTTTATAAATACACAAATATAATAATTATAGAAAAATAAAGAATATAAAAAATTTTATACTATAAAATTGATATTTATTAAATTACATTAAATTAATTTTAAAATAAATTAAAATTAATAATATTATAATGCGTTTAGGTTTAAGACTTTAGGCGAGTAGGTTTTGGCTTCAAACGTGTGTTTTACTAAAAAAAAAATCAATAATGACATAATAAGGCATAAAGGGCTACTCGAGTTCGAGCCCCTTTTTTATAGAGTTTATTAAGGTCATGCTTTCAAACCCAGTTACTTTTAAAAAATAATTTTTAAAGCTCGAATCTTTATTTAAACAAAGACTCCAAACTCTGCCTTCCATGCTTGACCCTTATTTTTGCCTCTAATAACTATTAAGATTTTTAGGTGGACAAAGGTTTGTGGAATCAAACCCCCTTGGTCGCATTTACGAATTTTTTTAAAAAAAGTGTCACTGGTGTTAAAGCTTTGGTGACTGGCCACGATGACCTCTCTAAAGGCAAGGGCTTCGATAGTGGTCCGGTGGCCAATGCAAGTGACAATGATAGTAACTTTTTTTATTATTTTATATTTCAGGAGCAACTTAATTGTTTTACATAAAAAATTAACATCAGTTAAGGATTAAGGGATTGTAATAAATTTTTAGAATCTATTAGTTTTTAACTGATATAACTATGCTCTAGTGGTCCTTAATTGATATTTTTCTAAAAGACAATATATTGGGCAAAATTTTTTCCAACATAAAAAGAAAAAACCGTGCCAAATTAAAAGTTTATTTGGCAAAATTCTATTTAGTAAAAGTGAATTTTTTGTAATAGGATCTGTGTTTGGACAATTTTTTTAAAGCTAGTTTTCTCCATATTTACCCTCATTTTTAGTTTCAAAAACTATGAATTTGTCAACTCCTCAAATTTATTTTCAAATCTTATTTGAATGAGCTCCTAAGAAGTCTTTTTTGATATACAAATGCACACGCAAACAGTTAAAAAATAACTTTCTAAAAGTGAGAAGTAAAGTCATCAATTTACTAATTTTTACTTGCTTTTTAAAAATCTCTTCTTTATTACAAATGCACACGCAAACAGTTAAATTTTTTTACTAAACTAACTTTTTTAAAAATATCTTCTTTATTACAAAAAAGAAATCTAAATACACATTTCATTGTAATAACTAATGAGTAATTTTTACTAGATTGACTTTTTTCAAAATTTTTGATAAACTAAATATTTTTGTGAATATGATTGTGAAATTAGTTTTGACATCACAACTTAATTAAGAGTCTATTTAATTTAAGAGGAGAGAAAAAAAAGGAAAGGAGAGGTGAGGAGAGAGGAGGGAAGGGAAAAGGAGGGGAAGGGAGCTCCCCCCTAATTTAGAGGGGAGGGAGGTAAAAATTTTCCCTCCCCTCCTCCTAACCAAAGGAGGGGAGGGCTTCACTCTCCTCCTCTCTTTCCAACCAAACACATCCTAAGAATATATATGGGTAACTAATAACTTTTGTAAAGTGTTTTTTGTTAAAATTTAAAGTTCTTTGAGAAAAAAATATAAAATAAAAATAGATTATCAAAGTATTTTTGGAATTTTGTTGGAAGTGGATTTAACCAAAGTAACTCTTGCTAGCTTTTCAAACTCACATTTTAGATTATGGGTATGCATTTACTTCCAAGTCCCCCCCACTAAAAAAATAGTATTTTTGTTGGCTAATGGTATTAGGAGTATTATTATTATTATTAGTTTATAATAATATGGAAAAAATAAATAGCACCAGTAATTGGCATTTTATATAGGACATAATAGGTAAATACACCAATGAAGCTTTGAAATATTTGTATGAATTTTGGTCATTATATATATATATATATCCAACTTCATATTTTTTTATTATTTAACATATAAATTTATATTATTTAAAATTTTATTAACATTCTTCAAACATTTCTAATATATTTTATTTTTATAAAAAAATTATAAATCATTGTAATCAACATTCTTTTTAATAATTATACATTTAAAAACATATAATTTATTAGACTGACTTTTTTTAAAAAAATATACCTTAAACACAAATTTTGTTACAACAAATGACTTTTATGAAATTAATTTTTATTAAATAAACTTTTATAAATTAATTTTTAGCATTTGATAAATTCATTTTTAGACAATGAAGAATCTAAGATACACTAAATGTTCATAACCAATGACAATCAACAAATTTTTTTTGCAAATTTATTAAACAAGATTTGCATGATTAGATATTTTGATTTGAAAGACGTACAGAGTTAAATAAAATTTTATATGAGAAATAATTATTATTGTTATTCATAAGAATATTAATACTAAGATTCTAGGAATAAGAACATTTTAATTAATTATTTTTAAAATAATAAAATTTTTAATCTTTTAAATTTATCTCATGTGGTCTTTGAATTTCAATTTTTATCAATAATGTTCCTAAAATTTTATAACTATATACAATGAGCTCTTATAATGATATTTCTTCCTCAAATAAAAAAGAACTAATTATGTATAAAGTTTTAAAATTTGATTGGTAAAAATTAAATTTCGAGAACTATATTAATAATGGTGGCAAATTTGAAGGATTAAAATTTCATCATCCCATTAAATTTTTATATAAAAAAGTCTTTAATTTTCAAATCTTAAATTATTATTATCATTTGGTGCGCGAAGCAGAGGCACTTCCTACCAAAATGGAAGTGCCGAAGCAAAAAGTTCAAATCTCGTTACTCAGGACGATAAAAGCCAACAGTTGGAGATTCAATTCCATTATGGTTAACAAGTCCTATTTCTGATCCCACCCAACCACCGCATTCTTTCCCAATTTGTTCTCCAATCGCCGGAATCGTATCTTGTTCCACCCTCAGAACCATTCTTTCCCTCCTCGTTCTTCCTCCGATCCTTTCAGCATTATCGGAATCCGAGCTCTGTTTCATGGTTCCACGATTTCGCTTTCTCTGTTGGAAATTGGAATATAGTCTCTGAATTATGGAGGC